GTTGGTTTAGAGTAGGGTACAATTGTCTTGTTTTTCCTCAATTTTCTAAAAACTTTTATGTACCGTGAGAGGGCGACAACTTTTTCACACGTGTGGTATAACCTTATGTTAACTGACTGTGTGCGGCTATTATTTTTTTTGGAAGTACGTTCAATAGAAATTAAGTGGGGAAGCACCCGTTGTGTTTTTGGTTGTATAACATCTCAAAAACATCATAATGTTAAAGGGCGAAGAAGGCGATCTCAATAGAATTAATTCGTAAGTTTTATAACTGCAGTTTTGTTTCGAAAAGAATAACATAAGAGGCTAGTAGTAGTAGTAATAATACAGTATTACTAGTTAGGCCCATATACTTTATAAAATGTACAGTACTTGCAAAGTTATATTATAAGTACGCTATCCATCTACCATAATGTAAACCTACTACAAACTAGGTTATAGAAACCCTGTATTCCTAAAAAAATATATAAATAACCAACAATCGTTTTCTCTCACTTTGACTATCCGCACAGATAATTAGAGCTGCTGATTACAAAAGTAAGACAAGTCTAGTCCAGAAGTTTGAAAAATATTCTATGGATTTCAGTATTTAAACTATTTGTAATTTTGTTAAGTTTTTTAAGAATGAGATAATTGAAGCATCAACGATGAAAAATATCTATCTGCACATAATTTAAATAAATCTTTATAACCGACAATTTGCTGCCTCAACATGTGTATTAAATCATGTTTTATATATATACTTCTACACGTTTAGAAAACAGACATTCAATTAAAGACTAAGTTGTATAAGTGGGAACAGTTTGTGATCTCCTTGGTGTAAAATTCATAATATTCTCAAAACCTAAGTGTTAAATCTGAAATATGTTGAAAATTTTAAAGTTTACTCACTGCCTCATTTGTTTTGGCCCAAAAAGTCCTTCAAACTACTACTTTTTTTTTTCTGTGCATTGTATTACAATCAAGAAGAGATGAGTACATTTTCCAATGAATGATAAGATCAAGTGCTACCTAATCCTAAAGAAAATTATGTAGCTAAAAAAGCATCTAGCAAACTGCATCAGGCTTGGTTGATATACAATATCAGAAGTAAACAGTATAAGTTGTAAGGTATGATTGCAGTTTCATTCTTGAGAGTAATTTTACTACTGCTGCTACTTTTATCAAACACCCCTGTACCAGTGAAAATAAGTGAACATACCTTTCCTTGATTCTTTCAAAATATAGCACCACAATATTAATCATTTCAAGCAAGTTTACATAACTATTTCCTATGCTTTACATAACTTACAAGCACAAAAACCATATTTTTTCAGAACCTGAAATAAGCCATTTTAATTTGAAATTTAGAATGTAAGTCTTGCACTACTCCTGAATTTTATTTTCTTGATAATATTATGTGAACTTGCCTTTTTCACTTCTAAAGATCTCTCCTGAAAAAGTTAAAAAGGAAGTTTCATAAAACACGAAGAGAAAAAAACAGACTTTCCAGGAGTAATATAAGACTAACAATTTCAATTTCAGATTAACAAGAGATCATTAGGTTCTTAAATAATGTACTTGCATACCCATTCTTTGATAAATTAAAAATCTAAACTCACCCTTTAATTTTCAGGAAATTGTTAATACCACTCTTAAACTCCTGTGAAGTGCTTTCTCCCACTACTGCTGATGATAAACTCATTCACTCACCCTGTTAAAAAAATAAAATTGTCTTAAGTGGAGCTTAGCCTATCCCTTCCAAATCTTAAGCTTGTGTTCTCTCATCCTGTTATTATTAGAATAAAGCACTACTAGACTATCTTGTAAATGCTAATAAGATCACCTAATATCCTTCTTTTTTCAACAGAAAATATCTTGGAGATCTTAATCTATCCATATCTGATAAACCTCCCATTCATGGAATGATCCATGTGGTTCTCTTCTAAGCAGTTTCCAAAAATTCAGCATCCATTCTTAGATCAAAACACACGGTTGTGTGGCAAAAAAAACAAACCACATGACACCCAGTTTGTTATTAACAGGAATGAAAACGGCCTTTTTAACTTTTTCAGGAGAGACAAGATCTTTACAAGTGAAAAAGGCAAGTTCACATAATATTATCAAGAAAATAAACTCCATATAATTGCCCCATTAATCAAAACTCTCCCATTTTTTGTGTGGTAGGTCTCCCAGATTTCATTACCTTACATGCCAAATTCCAAAGAAATCACTTTAACCTTTTTCATTTTACAGCAGACCAAACTTAGGCTGTTATTCTTCATCTTCTCCTTCTTCACACCATTGAAAAATCAAAAACTTTCCATTAATTGATTTCTTTCAAATTTGATACATAGATGGCATATAGGTTCCCTCAGCTTCACAGCATATTTGGTTTTACATAATAGCTCAAGTATTATTGGATATTTTATCAAAAATTAAGCTAAAATCTCATAAATATTTTGCACTTGCCTGGAGGAAATTTGGTTAATTTGATGTGCTGTAATTTCTACCACACACATTGGGGTATTCTTAAAAGTGAACTGTTTTTGATGTTATAAAAATTGAATGTAAAATCTGGAAGTTTGAGCCCAAAACCACCATTGTTTAAAACTTTTCTCACAATTTTTGCATACTACTTTGCATCTGACTTCAAACTAATGTAAACACTTCCTGGTATGTGATTGCTTTTGTTTCTAATTTCTCTAGTTCAAAATTTTCTAACATCCAAAACAGGCTGTTGCAGTTTTCAACCAATTAGAAACAAAAACTACACATAATTACAAGCAATAATCTAAAATATCAAGCTCTTGCCTTCTTGGTTTGATGAGATATCAGTAAAGTTGTCAACCCACCAAAGAAGCCCCTCTCCTATTTCTCTGATTTTAGGGATTGTTTGCTAATCAACTTTACATGACTGAAGAATGTGTGTAACCAATAGAAAGAGCAGATTCTCTTATACATAAATTTTACAAGTCAATGCTTAGTTATTAAAAACTCCAGTTCAAATAGTGTTTAAAAGTACACAACAATTTTAAATTATTGTGTACTTTTAAACATGTTTAAATTGAATTTTTAATAAATACCTATGCACAAATGTCATGTTCCTATTTTTTAATCCATTGCTTAGTTTTCCATGTCAAACGTTGCTCTCTGAATACTAAAGACATTTGTTAACATATTTATAGCTTAGAGAGACAGATAAATTATAGTACATTTGGGACATTCTATTCGAGTGATAGATATATTTTATTTTCTGTAATAAATAAGTGAAAGCTACATGAATTCTTTTCTATTTATATTTTTTAATAAAACTGACTAAAAAATTATTGTAAAATAAAATTAGGAAAGAGTTCCATATGGCACCCCCACCCAAAAATTGTAGAATTGCCTGGATAAAAAAGATTCTGAAAAGGGTTTATTTTAAGGGGCATA